ATTAAACGAGGAGTTTAATGAGAAAAGAGTGTTAGAGATGCACAAGGCTGAAAATGAAGCATAACATTATGAAAGTTCCCAGTGGAAGCTAAAGTACTGCTGAAGTACTGCTCTCGAATGACTGAATGAAGAAATTAACCCCTTCCCCATTTCTCACAAGAAGCACAGAATATCCCTATATCGCCTAGCCCAGGGCTAGGCAAGTTCGGTCCTAGAGAGCCGCAGTCCTGCAGAGTTCAGCTCCAACCCTAATCAAACACACCTGAACAAGCTAATCAATGTCTTCAGGATTACTAAGGCTATAGGCAGGTGAGTTTTGTTTTCAGGGTTGGAGCTGAACTCTGCAGGACTGCGGCTCTCTAGGACCGAACTTGCCTAGCCCTGGGCTAGGCGATATAGGGATATTCTGTGCTTCTTGTGAGAAATGGGGAAGGGGTTAATTTCTTCATTCAGTCATTCGAGAGCAGTACTTCAGCAGTACTTTAGCTTCCACTGGGAACTTTCATAATGTTATGCTTCATTTTCAGCCTTGTGCATCTCTAACACTCTTTTCTCATTAAACTCCTCGTTTAAATTACTCTTAAAGGATGTTACATGATTGCTTTTGCAGATTGGTCAGAGCTATTACCTGTTGATTTGACCATCTGTCTAGAGAAACTGCAAAATTGCTGGCAAAAGATATGCCTGTCTATGTTAAAGCAAGGGCTGTCGTTTCATTTTAAATATGCAGATTAAATTATCATTAGTTTGATTATTTTTCTTATATATGTACTGTATATATACTGAGAAAATGAAGGAAATGAAGATATAAAAAAATAGTAATATTGTGAAATATTATTACAATTGAACAGAAATGTGATTTATTCCTGTGATGGCAAAGCTGAATTTTCAGCATCATTACTCCAGTCTTCAGTCTCACATGATCCTTCAGAAATCATTCTAATATGCTGTGAAACATTTATTATCAATGTTCAAAACCGCTGTGCAGCTTAATATTTTTGTGGAAACCATGATAATTTTCTTTCAGGATTCTTTGATTAGAAAGTTCAAAATAACAGCATCTACTTAAAATATAAAACTTTTTAAAATTATCTTATAAATGTCTTTACTATCACCTTTGATCAATTTAATAAATCCTTACTGAAAAAAAATATTAATTTCCTTCCATTAAAAAAATGTACTGACTTAGTAGTGTGCGGTAGTGTAATTGGAAAACATTATTGTAGCAGACAACAGTAAATAGATATAAATAACAGTAAGCTTTAGACATCAGTATAGTGTTTTATTTTCATATAACTGAAAATATACAGTATACATGCATTTAGTTAATACTTGTCAATAGAATTGCTCCAATTCCTTATTTTGGGTAATGCGTTAGCTTTTGTTGACACTTTATTTTTATAATTAATTGTGCTAAATGAACACAATATTTACAGCTAATAACCATACTAAATATGCAGACTTTTGGATGTCCTATGGTGTACTTCTGCCCCACCTCACTTACATGACTGACTGAGTCCAATGCTAATTTAACTGCTGCTAATATGGTCATGCCAACAGATTGAGGAGGGTTTGATAAATCACCTGAGGAATAAACAAGCAGAAGGTAATAGCATTTGTTGCCAACTTGCCGTCTGGTGAGATATAGGGAGAGAGAGGTCTTGAGGATTTGAGCCGAGCCCAGTCACCCACATGCTTCACGTCTCACTGGATGGACACTATCCAACTGAACGTCGGGCGAGGAAAGTCACTGAATCTCCAGTGACCAAGGACACATCTGTGACTGTCCCAACGCATTAAGGTTCTATGCTGAAAGTTTCTAAGGAGATGTCAAATTCTCCTGGTCTCAGCATCGTTCAAACTGAAGACCTTGGTCTCGGGTTCTTATAATATCCAGACCTGATCCCCCTCTCACTTCCTATTTTCCAGCTCCCATGTTAGTGTGTCATGCGTCCACAAATAGACTGAGCATGTCAAAACCGTGTCTTCATTACAAATATTGTCTCGTTCTTTGATTCTGCTGTTTGAGGGAACTGTCAGCAAGGCACTTTCATCACTGTGACCCTTGATGTACCCTCAAAGCACCATCAGTAAGACTCAAGATCCCCTTCAACAACACCAAGCCTCCAATGTTTTTATTTTAATTTTTACTCGTGTTGTACTGAATATAATTTATTCATATTATACCTGTATTATCATTAGTTTTTATAAAAGTGGCTATTATAATAATGATTCACTATTAAAATGAAAATATCCAATTCTGTGGGAGAAAAAAGACTCAAGTAGCTACTATCTTGCTACCAACTACTCTAGTGAATCCAGTGTAAATGTTGGCTATAAACGAACTACATCACAGTCACATGATTTCAGTGTTACATCGCAAAGCTTTCAACTATTTCAGTCTTTATTTAACAAACATTTTGCCTGAATGTTTGAATTTAATTTGGAGTAGCCTGATTAAAAATATGATGTCTTGAAAGTGAAAAACTGTGAAAAAAGCTTTAAAAAATCACAAATTACTGATGTATTTTATGTCGTAGAATAAAATATGAAAATATATTAAGCTTGTGTTAACCACAGCATTTAACCAAAAACCCATTGACTTCAGGATGATGGCACTGGTAGTGCTAAAATGCTAAATCCTTTCCAGATTTTGACGTCCAAATATACATAATTCCTGCAACACTTTATTGCGGAGTGACTAACTAAAAGTAGTGAGAACAATAGCTGAACTGTTTCCAATCACCTTAGCTTTTCCAGTAACAAAACCACTTTTAGTAGATTGTGGCATGACCAAATCTGCAGTGTTATGGATGTTCATTCAAAAATGTTTTCCTAACCTGTCCTCTTTCTTTTATTTAACTTTTGAATCAGTTTGTTCATGTATCATTGCTCATGTATACGCATGATTCACTGATCCAAAACAATATTCACCAGTGATTGATTAATTTAAAAAGATTGTTAACCCAAAAATGAAAATGCTGCCATCATTTACTCACCCTCATGTATATCTTTGCAACACAAATTAAGATATTTGTAATATTCTCATCATTTTTGCCCATCCACTGAAAGTCCATGAAACTAAAACTTTAAAGCTTTAAAATGTACATAAAGACATCAAAAAAGTAATATGTATGAATCAAGCAGCTTCTGAAGAGACACACTCACTTTTTTTAAGGATCAGATTTAATTTAGTCTTTTATTCACATATAAACAATTATCAACAGACATACATGGAGCACATCAAATATGTATTTGTAATGTATTTAAGTATTAAAAGTTGATAAATCAATTTAGAGAAAATTAAGGCCCTTAAAAAGTTTTTTAAAGTCTTAAATGCCATTTTCCAAGTTATTAAATTTTGTATTATCTTTTCATTATGTATATTTGTCCGAATAGTGGGGTTCTGTGTAGTTTATTTATGGAATCCCGCGAGATTTGACGTCATCTGTTACGGCGCTCACTGACTGACTGTGCCGCTGCGTGATAGCGCGGGGCTTGTTGATCGTGCTCTCGCTGAACTTCTGACCATTACCGCATGCTCCCATCCGCTCCCATGATTTTTGTGTCCTCTCCTGCAAACATTCTAATATTGTATATAATTTTCGTGCATCAGGGCGCCGCTATCAATATGGGGATTATTTAAATCCCTTTTGAATGAGCGCTCGCAGTCGCGGTTCACTTTCGATTTCGCGATCGCGCGCGCACTGTGTAAAGGGAGCACGTCTTACGATAAAAGATATTTGTCAAGGAGCTCGGGATCTGTTGAGGAGCAAATCCTCCAACATCTTGTCAGTTATCTCTCCTTATTTTTAACCCGTGATCAGTCAAATCTGACTTCTGCAGCTCGTGTTGGATGCAGGGTTGTTGTTTTTTTCCACGAAATTGGGCTGCTTTTAAACTGTTGCCATGGGTTGATTTCGCCCAGTGGGTTAAAGGTTTGAAATATTGCATAAATTACATTTGGTTGAAACGCTTGTACTGAAATGCATTCTACCTGTAATAAAACTGTGGTAAATGTTTTGGGCCACACTAGTAGGAAGCTGTGTTTTAGCTGTGTTTAGCTGTGTTCTAGTAGGAAGCACATTTGAGCTGTGTTTATGATAAATGTGCATAACAGTGACTGTAAAATATGTATTTTAGGGATGGAAATGACATTTTTATATTTGGGACA